ACGTTGGCTTACAATATACCTATGAGTGAAATGACGTTTATTTCATCTGTTACCACATATCAAGTCTGAAACCTGTCTGTTTTGCTGTCAACTTATCTTGTTTATTTCTGAGCTCTTACCTGACTGGGATATAGGTCTTATTGTTGTCGTCTAATAAAGCAAATCTACTGTATTTTTTTATAATTTGCCAGTAAGAATGACTTTGAATTCTGGTTAACAAGACTTAATTACATTATATCTTCCTTCGAAGGGACATTAAACCCAGTCCCTCAAGATAAAGACTGTGCAAATAACAAGAGAGGGGTGTATTCCTTGACCATTGAGATTTGTTTTTGCTGGAACGTGGTTTTCGTCGCTAGTTGCTTTTCCTTACATAAGTATTCGAACAAAGGCAACTCAGATACTCCTTATGTTAAATGTACATGATTCCATTTATTCGTACATCGTAGTTTGACTTTTAAAAAAGAAATTAGACGGTACTGTTCTTTGGATTGAAGTAAGGAGTTGCACTCTCACTTTCTGAACAATTCCAGGCATGAAACAGGTGCAACCCTTATGTAAGAGACATTTTAAGTCATTATATAAAGGTAAACAATAGGCCTAACGAGTTCTACCATAGAACAAAGTTCTTATAGGTGAACAAACAGTCATTAGGCATAATTAGTGGAAATTATTCAGTTCTTTAAAATACTGCACCAGGTACATTTCCGCTAGATAAAACATTTGTAATATGGGTTTTATTCCAAGATGATCCAAGAGAAATCTTGACTTTTTAGCTGTGTATATTGAGATAGATATTCATAATCGCACTGTTGAAAATTGAAGAGATTCCAATCCGCAAACGACGTGTTAATCTTCTCTTCATGTATATTATGTACGTAGGGACAGGAATGACAAAGGCTACACGAAGCCTGTTTCCCGATTCCTTTCAGTAATTGAAAAAATATTGTTTATACAAACAAATGTATACATTGTCAAGTACATATATATATATATATATATATATATATATATTACCTTTGGCTGTAGCTTGAATGTTCAGACTTAAGAATGGAATAAAAATCATTTCATATACAAGTGTACTTACAATAATTCTGTCATAAAAATTTCACCCGTCACAGAAGTGTTTCTGGAGTTTATTTATGATTATTTTAATGTGCTTAAGACATAGATAAAAATGTGAAGCTCCAAATATAACTCATCTTCACCTTCTCGTGAAGGAGATGGGCGTAGGACAAATTTCAGTCGTGAATTAACACGATTTTATTTATTTTTATCTTGTACAATCACAACATTACAAATTAACATATTATATTCTTTTCAACCAATTTTATTTAACATGCATATTTTAACTTGAAATAAAATGAAATGGGAGTACATCGTCCTACTTTTCTACACCGGAGTCAGCCTATATGACATACAGGGTGTAATGTGGAGCAAAGCATCAGATGTCAGAGCATAATCATGGGCCTAATCGATTTTCAACTGTAGTGTTCTTTAACGTGAACCATGGCTATTCAAGTGGAATTTAATTTTAATGGCTTGCTATAACGACTCTCAGACCATGACCTATGAACATTTTATAGGTATATATTCTCCAAACTTAAAAAAAAATGCTGCTTTGAATGTCGCTGGCGAATTAATCTTCCCTAACACTTGATGTCCCTGTGCTACTGTGCTTTTCATCTCTACAGATCACACAATCATTTTCCTTCATTAGCAAATCAGACTAATCATTCTCGACTTTATCTGATCAAACACTGTTTATTTCATTATTGTACTTAATCTCGTCTATCGTATAGTTCGTTTACGTTTATAGACTTATAACTCGAGAATAATTAACAAATCTCAATTAAAACTGAGCTGCCTTTTC